GTGTTCAGAGGAGGCACGCACAATGAAGTCGGACATGTAGGAAATGAGCGTACTGATGTGTTGAATGGGATGGACCATGAGCGAGTCAGCAAAGCAACATCAGCAAGGTGCAAAAGGTGTCAAGCTGGGGGACTCACCGTTTAAAGGACTCTTTTGGTAGAAGGAACGAATCCTCGACCGAACGCCATTTGATAGTGAGCGGTTTGTGACGAACGCTTCGTGACTCGTCCTCAAAAATGGCAGTCGCGAGAAAGATTTGGGACGAGCGCAAGATCGACCCTCTCTGTACTTGGCTTGTGACCTGAAGTGCAAGGTCTTCAAAAGTCCAAGGCTGGTCACAAAGATCCAACGTCAACCTTTGTTCGTCGAGCGAGTGTATGTGCAGGCCGGTGGCATAGAGAATGAGAACGTTACGAGCTTTCATATCGAATTGGAGACCTACCACAGCTTGCAGACCTCCGCGTGGAAATCCGCACAATCTAGACGCAGTCGTGACATCTCCGGTGGAAATGTTCCACATGATCACGTACGTTCTCATCGATGCAGAGCCGCCAGCGTCTGCGGGTACTTCTTAGCGCCACAGGACCCCACAGAAAGGGTAATGCAAATGCAGCTTGAGTAGCCTGCCTGCGCTTTGTCGAGGAAGAGTCAACTCGGTGTGCTTCACATAAGCGCTCGTCTCTTGCTCTTTCCAGACCTCAACCCGGCAGGCCGCATCTACTTGCCCATTCCACACGGCCACAAAGCCCATGTCGAGGCTAAGCAGATCCCAATCGAGCGCCAAAGGCTCAGTCACGAGTGAGCGTCTGGGCGTCATGAGCTGTTGCAGAGTCCTGGACCACTGGAGTATCCGCTTCACGCAGCGGATCATGTGTAGAGACTGAAGGTGAAAGGCGCGTTGCGAGACATCGATGCAAAAGAGATTGATGTGCCCACTTTGGGTCGCGGCAGCGAATCGAAAAGCCAAGTCAGATCTGCGATCCGTCCGAGGTCCAAATCCCCCGCGTGGCAGTAAGTCTTCCCTTCCCGGCTTGCAATCGTTCAGGTAGTGATGCAGACGTGGATTGATCCACGTGTTGGTGAGCGCGAGGTACTCCCGACAAAGAGATTTGAAAAATTGGAAGGAAGAGAAGAAGCCACTAGACTCCAAGAGCGCTTGACCGTCGCATTGGCTTTGCCGCGTGCCTGGGGAAGGAAGAGGCGCATCGATGTGTGGGATGAGACCCCACTCCACTGCTACCACCCGCCAGAGCTGTTCTGAGCGTGCAATTAGATGGTTCCACTTGTGGCACACTGCCCTGGCGCGCAAGATGGTCTTGGCGCCGATGAACGCTATGATCTTTGAGATGATTTCTGCCGGAAGGTCAAACTCCTTGCTCTGCATGTCCATAGGTGCAGCGATGAGCGAGTCTCCACGCTGATTGTGCCCCCGGAGCACGTCTAACGAACGACGATCTGAATGATGAAGCGACATCGCATGTCTAGTTGACATCGCGTTTGAGGGTATCGATGTTTCGTGAGGCCCATCCATTTCGACGGAGAGGCTTGTCGAGTCCCGTTGATGTCAAGAGGCTGTGCTCCCGGAGCCGAAACACAGGGGTTGTGCTGGATGGGGTTGAACAAGGCCACGTGTGCCGTGCATTCATCAGTGCGAGTGAGCAATTCAAGCTGAGCACCAGTCAAAGTCGGGCCATGCGTAGCCACGGTGTCCATGTACTGATCGAGGGCAGTACAATGCAAGTCAGTATAGCTGAGCGCCCAGCCATTGGCGGAAATTGAAGAAGAGGTCGGGCCAATGCCGGTCGTGGTTGTCTGCCGGGCCAGGCCAGGACAAGAGCCCCTTCGCTCTCGTGCAGCCCGTGCTACTCCCCAAGCGTGGGCCCCGCGCTCCGAGCTCGCCTCTCGCGACGCTGAATGATGCCAATCGATGCGAAAGCTCAAGTGAGTGGGATGGAGGAGGTAGGGGCGATGACGGTGGGATACGCTGCACCCCAACGCACTCGTAGCGGAGATGGTGGTGCAATCAAGTGCATGCATGGTTGTCACAGTCGTGAGTACGAGTGAGCGGTTTGTCATAGCCCTGCGGCGCAAGCGCGGTTTTGTAGCACGTGATCAGCGCATTTTCAAACCCAGTTTTGAGTCAGAAGAGTCAAAGTAATCAAGAATGAGTTCAGAGGAAAAGTCACATGAGGTGATTTAGGCATCCCACTTCCAAAATTATCATTACTTTCTACCGGCACTCAGCATCAAACATCATTTGATCGACGTCGCAAGCGGTCTCCAATTCTTGATAGTCTGATGAGATCAGTCATTGCCCACCTGATGTAGCTCAGGTCTCCGAATGTGAACATCGTGCAAACGCCTGTAGCATCCATCTGTGGCTCAACATAACTTCAGCAGGGGTGACCGAGGACTGATCCATTCGCCACACTCCAAGGCCCCCGGATGGATGCTTCTCGTTCATCCAAGATGATTCAAGGCGACAGGCAGCCAGACCGACGATGATCAGGTTCTGCTTCAGGGGGAGGCAACCGCCGAAACTCCGCGCTCCAACATCGTGATGGTCAAGTCAGCCCGTCCACCAAAGAATCTTGGGTACACCAAGCGCTCGAGCTTTGCTATCCATCCCATTGAGCCCAGATCTGACACGCTAGAAATGAGCTCGCAATGCTAGCTATACAAATAAAGTCGAGTAGAGCTCTTCGTCAAGGCGTCGCTGCGCGAAGCTGTCTTGCACCACACGGCGAGAACCTGCAGATTGGTGGCTCAGCGCCGACGAGCTTGTGAGCGGCACGGAAGCCCATTCTGCGACCGGGCTGTGGTTGAATGGTGACTGCAGAAATTCAATCGTCAAATGCAAGACTATCATTGCGATCTTCCTTTTTGCTGTAACACGCATACTTTCGGAAAGATGGCCAAGCACCGAAACTGGTCTCGAGGACAGTCACATCGTGTCGGGGTGCTTCAGGGCGAGTCCAAAGTCTACATATTGAAGCTGTATCGGATCTCGAAGGTAGATGCCCGTGGCGTCCATTGCCGCATCAGTTCCAACATGGCGAAACTTGTGGCTGAGAGCGAAATCACAAGCGTCTTCTTCTCGCTGGAGGATCCGCACTTTGCAAGAGTCGATCGGCTGGAGCGAAGGATCTTTCGAAGGATCGAGGCGGGTGGGATCAAGATCGACTAGGAAGACGGTGTTCTTGATGCTTGGTTGGGAGCGCGATCGATGCTCGATGCTCAGGCAAATTCGCCCGTCGTGGACTGCAAGTCCTCTTGATCGACTTTTGAAGGGCTCGGTCGAATCGCCCTCGAAGTGCGTGATCATCGCAGCTTGTACCGGTGCCTTGTTCGCTGACTTATCCACTAGAGTCGTATAAGGACGCAAGAGCAACAGTCCCCACGGAAAACACAGGGCTAGAGTCTTTGTGCGCAGGTCAGCGCCCATGTCCTCGATATAGGCGATATCCTGAAAAGCTATATTTGCCTGTGCGAAAAGAGTTGGGATTGGCACCGCAACACTACTCGACGGACAGACAGCGCCAGCACACGCACCACGATAGACTTGACGAATGAAAACAATTCACTAAAAGCAGACACTCGAGACATGTGAGTCGTGATTGTGCCACAAAGATACAGACACCGATACGTACCTTTGAAGTATGTGGTCTGGGAACGGACCGGCTTCGCATTGGAATTGACGCGTCCACTCTGAGGTAGCCGGGACGTTTGACCAACCGGTGAGAGGCGGCTCCGACTTGATCAGGCAGGTGTAAACGTTGAAGACGTTTTCGCGACCGGCTAGGCCGGGGGATGATCGTGCCCTTGCTTGTGGCAGCACGAACTCAAAAGCGATGTCTGCTCTGGCGACTTTTGCCTCGCCTTGGAGGCGGTTGTCTATGACACCAACTCGAAGCCCCAAGGCACCTGCAAGAAAGCAAAGCTTCGTAGACTTAGACAAGTCGACCCAATCGATAGCCCGTGGCGGGCCAAGTCCACCGAAGTATGTCTGAAAACACACACGATGAGGGGCTGAGCGATAGCAGAAAAAGACCATATTTGGGGGGTTCATGACGTGCGCGTATCCAGGCTGCCGATACCTGCTACGGAACACTCTTGACGCCGAGGGCTCGTCCCGCTCGAATGCGACATCTGTTCCCCGAGGCAGCAGGAGACACCGAATGCAGCAGATGCGATTTG